TTTAGTTTTTGAGAGAACGGAATATCCGATTTTAATGATTCAGAAAACATTTTACTTGAATTTTGAGAAAGAAGATCCATCGGATTCGGAGATCCAATGAAAAAACTAAAAAATGCCATTTGGCGGTCAAAAATTATTATTAAACATATACACATCAAATTATCAGATATTTTATAGAGATTTTAATAATAAGTACTAATTCTGTTTACATTGCTATGGGTTCCGTTCTTAGTTTTATAATGTTTAATCGTTAGACTGGGACGTGGCGCTTACGCGCTTTAACACTTCGATTCTAAAACTTTGAAGAAAAATAAAAAAAAATCAAAATATGATATTAATTCGCCATAAGGCACGATGTCAAACTCCACTAGTTTAAGTTTTTTTTAACTTTCCGAATGAGAAGTTTGTTTTCATAAAAAAATCCGACTCGCTAATTTTATGTTTTCTCGACATTTCAAGCCATTTTGAATCGAATTTGGAAAAAGTATGTGTGTGTGTGTGAACAGTTGTGTTTTGCCGTAAATCGACGTTTTCTTCAAAACGGCTGGACCGATTTCAAAAATTTAAAAGGCATTTGATTATGAGTTTTATGCGACTATCGGCCCGGCCCTTTCTTTGTAAATTGCAGAAAAGTGAAAAAATTTTCGTCCACGTTTCAGCCCGCAATTCTGAATCGATTTTGAAAATTCAAAAACCGTTCGATAGATATTGGTTGGGAATCGTGCTGATTAGTTTTTGGTAAAGATCGGCCGGGCCGTTTTCTTGTAATAAAGTTAAAAAAAAAATCGACGATTTTTATGATTTTTTTTGACGGTAGATACCATAGTCTTGTAGATCATACTAAAGTATTACGGCCCTACGACAAGTCGTTTAATTTTAAAAATTCTTCAAAGTTTGCAAAAATTAGTATCGTTTTTATGGCATTTGTCAAAATTTGACCCTTGATCGACGTAGTCTCAAAAAGGCCTGAACCGTTTTCAGAAATTTAAAAGCCATTTGATGTATCTCAATGATTTGTGAGACGATGTGCCAAGCCGTTTCTTTGTAATTTGAAAAAAAGTGTTAAACTATTCGTCCACATTTAAGTTCAAACTACCGAATCGATTTTAAAATATCAAAAACTGTTCGAAAGATATTAGTTGGATATTAGTTTTATTTTATTGATTAAGTCGATTATTTAAATATATCGGAAAGTGCATGTAACTTGCCAACTGGCAAAATACCAATACCAACTAGTTTTAAGTTATAATATACGAGTATGTTAGAGTTATGTAGTTCGTTAAACATTGTCGCGAATTATGATGTAACACATAAAGTACTGATTTGCGCACGTGCTTCAAATAAATCTCATATATCAATGATTAATAATCCACAAAGTTTCATTTGATAGGTAATTAGCGGGTAACTATAACAATAGAATGATGTTAGGATAAGATTATATGTAAATATTAACTATTATGCATTACAAATTTAATTATCTTTTGTTAAATCTTTTAATACAATATTTTTATAACTTTCAACAAATATTGATAACCAAAAATTAAATCAAGACACATTATTTATAACTCGGATGGATTATTTGTAACCAACAATATATTCTTCTCGTATATTTAAACTTCTCTCTATTCTAAAATATTTTGGAAATTTTGAACTTTTTTTCACAAAATCGTACTGCTTTAGCTGCATAGAGACGAAATATCGAAGCGCGTAAGCGCCGCATCGCCGTCTAATAGACAAACGATGTTACGGAACCCATAGAAATGTAAACAAAATTTATACGTATTATTAAAATATTCATAAAATATCTGGTATTTTGATGAGCCAATGTCTAATGATCATTTTTGACCACCAAATGGCATTTTTTTTACTTTTTTACTAAATCTCCGAAACAGCTAGATCTGCCTTCCCAAAAACTTAATCAATTTTTCATCATGGTAATACAAGTAAAATGTTTTTTGATTTATTAAAATCGGACGCTCCGTTCTATTAAAAACTGAGTTACCGTTTTTGGCACCTTTGCCCCAGTTTTTCGAAATGGCTAGACCTGCATTTGCCAAAAACTAATCAGCATGTATCTTTGAATAAGTTTTTTGAATAATTGAAATCAGTTAACTCGTGTTCCCGAAATCGTCGACGAAAATTTATATCCGCACACACACACACATCACTTTTTTCTAATGTATGCCAAAATATTCGGAAACCTCTGAAACGTAAAGTTGTGTTAAAATTTTCATTTTCTTTTTTTTGCGATTACTATAAGTTAATAATTTATTAAGTTTCCTAAAAATACTAGACCAAACATTGAAACGAAAATCGGTTGAATTATATAAATTAATTAAAATTTGGAGTAATAATAATAATAATAAATTGAATAATAGGGCCCGTGCCTTTATTATAATTGCAGATAGTTTAAATGTGTTTTGGGAGATACCAATTGAAATGGCAATGTTTAGATTTGAGTGAGACCGAAAACATTATTTTTGAAATAGACAATAGAAATTTTTATCTAAATGTCGAAATCTTAATTTCGGTTGATTACGGCAAACATTACAGCTATCGGAAAGTGGCCTTAGGGGTAAATACCACTTTCAACTAGTTAATTTTGATTTTTGTAGTGTCAATTTATATTCTTTATCAAAAAATAGTAACGTCGAGTTACCGATTCTCTATCTATTACATGCTGAAAAGAAAAATGACAAGTCGACACGCAAATCCTATGCCGTATATTTTTGTGATTAACGATTGAAACGTGTTGTCGATGATATAAGCCGTTTATCGGATGTAGAGATCATTTTTTGCCTGAATTTTCCGCTAATCTACTTATTGACACTATAACTTGTGTCAGCTTTCGACGCGATTCAATAAAAATTGTAATTGATGTGCCATATTTTATTATCACCATAAATAATACATAAGGAAAAGAGATTGGATATATATGTACTCAATAAGCTCTGCAGTATGAAACTAAGTGAATTATCCTTTTATAATCCTAAAAATATGGATTAGTTCAAATTGACAATTAGCAAATAGTCTGTATAGTGTAGAGTGAGGATTAATAGTCTGAGGATAAAAAGGTCCACTACCATTATCCCAAAAACAATTAAAGTATACAATTTTAACGATACTATTTTAAAGTAAAAGATAAGGATGTGTAATGAGCAATCATCTTCATTCTAACGACGTCGCTATCAGGTGTATAAATATTCATGTTTGGTTTTGGTTTCGTCGGTGGTTTTTTTTTCTTAAGCTCTTTTATTTAGTTAATAATAACTATATTAATTTTAATAGGTATATGTTATTTAAATATTTTATAAGATATATCGTTATTAACTTCCCGTAGGGTAAGTTATTGTAATGGGCCGAAAATCGAAATTGAGATTTTTTACATTTCTCGACGTTTTGCAGGTTTCTGAATATTTTGGCATATCTCAGAAAAAATGGATGTGTGTGTGTATGTATGTATGGATACAAATTTCCAGTCACGTTTTCGGGCGCACGGATCAACCGATTTGAATGGTTCAAAAAACATTCGATTCCTAATGATAGGGAGAAGAGCTGATTAGTTTTTGGCTAAGGCAGGTCCAGCCGTTTCGGAGATACGGAGCAAAGAGTGCAGAAAATAGAAATCGAGTTTTTGAGAGAACGGAGTATCCGATTTGAATGATCCCAAAAACAATCAATTTGTAATGACGGGGAAAAGGGGTGATTAGTTTTTGGCAAAGGCAGGTCCAGCGGTTTCGGAGATACAGAGCTAAATGTGCAAAAAATGGCAGTTTTTGAGAGAACTAAGCGTCCGATTTGAGTGATTTCAAAAACTTTCTGCTTGTTTCAACAAGATAATTTTGTTAAAATTTTAGAAAAAAAAATTGTTTTGTATATCGAAAATAATTCAGATTTTATTTTTAATTCTAACTAAAGTTCTAATATACTTTAAACAAATAATTTCAACTTTGCAATTCAGTTTATATAATTCTTATAAATATTAGACAATGTTACAATATTTATAATAATTTATTCGAAAACATTCAATATTCCTCGAACATCATACATCATCAATAAACACATTTTTATAAATATCAAATACACATTTTTATAAATAACCAAAAATCGAAAAAGAATTACCAATACATCAAATTTGAAAATTAAGGTATTTAAAGTAATAATTAAAAGATAACATTTATTAAATGCATTTTATTTATTAATATTGATCCATTTCATGCTTTTACTCCAATATATTTAGATCCAATGAAGATGTCAAAAAATGTTTTTTACACTTATAATTTATTTATGTTATTAGTATTAGATAACATACATTAAATCTATCAAGATTTTGTTGTTAAGACTTTTCACCAAAAATCGTAATTTGTTACTTTTTTAAACTTTGGATTAATTTTTGTGTGATTTTAGAGTTCATGGCCTTGAAGAACATTCTGAAATATCATATCCCCACAAAAAATGTGTTTTAAAAAATCATTAACGTTTGGAATAATGTCCCAAGAATCAGATATAAATCGTCACAAATTTAAATGTTGCTAAATTTTATTTGTCGATTATTTACACATTTAGGGCGGTTTTTGAAACTTGCCTTAAGCCAAAAGCCACCTACACTTAGTTCAAAGAAAAGTGTTCAAAATTTTCAGGCATATATTCAATACGTAAAATTCGGATATTATATAATGAAATCTTCTATAATTTTTGTATGGCAATTATTTTCATGCCACAATCTCTACTTCTTGAGACTTAATTCCAATGTCGATGATATCAGCGAATTTATTGGAGCACAACAATTAGCGCTAATTAATATCACGAAACAAGAATTAGTACTACA